AAAACTAAAAAAAGTTCTTAAAAATAAGCAGTTTCATAAATGCACAACCCACACCAAAAAGATTAGGTTTGAGCAGGTCTCTCGTACGGCAAATTTCCCCTAAGAACGTACTTGCCCTCGAACTACAGCTAAGACAGTCTAAGACAAGGCTGTGAACGCTGCCCACGACGTCCAGGAGGTCGGGAGCACAAACACCTGCTCAGGCTGATCCCGCCCCTCCGTGTGCCGCCCCACCATCGATGTCACACTCATACCTGTCAGGTGGCTTGTCCGCTATGGTAGCAGGAAGTGAGGGAGGGAAAGGCGACGGCTTGGGTGAAGGTGGTGTAACAGCCGGGGTGCAGCCTGGTGTGGCTGGAGACTGGGGGTTAAGCCACTGCACTGTGGATGAGCGTGTCTGGCTCGGGCTAAGGGTGGAAGTTTGGAGAACAGGATTAATAGTATAAAGGCCACAGAACACCAAATACATCACACTTCACTCCTAAGTGGTGAGGACGACAGCTCCTTTCTCTCTCTGGATGACCAAGTCCTTTCCATGTCCTTCCAGGTCTGTAGCCCCAAGAGCCACACCCCCAAACTAGAGATGCCTTATTGTACTTCTCCAGGTTTGTGGAGAAGATCTAGTCTCGTCCAACCTGGCGCCACACTGGCTCACTCATTAGGACACCAGAATCCAATGGCCAAAACTAGTTGCTTAGACTTTTGAGATATTCAGGTTTTCTGCTTATAAAGTCACAAGAACCTACAGTCAAGCATATGATCTACAGCTCTAAAAATTCAACACTTACCTTTTAATGTTTAAAGCTCTTTCATCTGGTCATGTACATGTAACAACTCAGAAAAAAAGAATGCCAGTGGGAATCAAGATTCCTCCTGAGTGGACCAAACACTATCGTTTAAGGGCGAAACCAGTGAACAGTAAACTTTTGGTGAGCTTAACATTCATTCCCTAATATTTGCAGATTTTGAAAATAATGTAAGAAGGTCAGTGAACAGACTCATGGAGGGGCCTCTATATGTGTCGATCTGAATTAAATGATTCTTCAGTGATTTCAAAACTGGAGTCCCTACGGTCTTTGAAGCTTGCTTTAAAAGCCACCATGTGGAAAGCTCATTTCATTCCAATACATGTTCAACACACAAGTATCCAATGTTGCTGCACCCAGATGCTCTGCATCTCAAATTCACCCTCTTTGGCTCAAACCAGTTTCCGTGAGCAGCTTCCCTGTCCTTCCACATTCCTGAGCATTATCTTTGATGCTTCTTCTCTAGCAGAACTAACGTCACATCCTGGCCATTTTTACTTCAAAAAGTTCCCAGGGCCTGTCCCTTTGTCTCCCCTCTTATCATTAACAGGAGACTACCCCATTCTCACCACCCATGCCCGTGTTACCCCTGCGGTCTCCCAGCCAAACTGCCAGCCCATTCCTCCAATTCGACCAGCCCAACTGGCCACACTCCAGCCACCTGGGTAAGACCTAGTCTCCCCCATCTGCCCCCCCAAGGACAGATGTATCCCCCACCTGCCCTCCAGGGGCTCCCCCACCTGCCCCAGCAGCCTGGCCACTCTGCCCACAGCTCCACTTCCTGACGGTCCCCTACCCCGTCTCACAGTCCTCCTCCCCTGCTGGCGGTCATCCGTGCTTTCCTCCACTCAGCCCCAGCTGCCTCCCCGGGAAGTACCTCTCCTTTAGCCTCTTGAAGTCACAGACCTTCTCCGAAGACCTGGAGCACCAATAGGTGGGAAGCCAGGTTGGCATGAGTTGTTCTGTGATGCTTTCAGACACTTCTCTTGCCTCTGGGATAAAAGCGGGTGCTTAACTCTTTCCGGAGACCTCACAAAGCCAGGCAGGGTGCTTGGCAGAGAAAGCCTTCAGCAACATCTGAGCAACCAATTCAGATGTTCTCACATGACAACCGGGGTTTGTAAGTCAGGCACATGAACTGTCACTGCATTATCCACTTGATAGGTATTTAGCACACAGAAGGTTTGCTACCTTTTGATCAGAAAAGGTGGAGTGCATTTTAGACACATGATCCTTCGAACAACATATTTATAGCCCCCCTTTGCAGCCATTCATTTGGAAGTCATAAAACCTATTTCATGCCAAGCAAAGAAACCTGTAAATCTCAAAGTGATCTACATCACCAGCAGCAAAGGCACTCAATTCTTTAGCAGAAAACAAACCTGTAACGGTGTCTTACTAATCAGTCAGGGAGAGGAAGGCATGAGTGATGCTCTGACAGGGAATTTAAGACCAGAGCCAGCCCAACCATTGCCATTTTCTCTCCCAGTAATTACTCGAGGTGCTTGGAGGTGGAGGTGGTGGAGGACGAGACGTTTTACCACACTGCCAACAGCCCTTCCTCGTCATAAAGTTAAGTGCTTAAATGACAGCTGTCTACCTGCAGAGAGAGAGGACAGCCACGGGAGGAAGACAAAGCGACAATGTGTGGATTGATCAGGCTCTTTAAAACTAAAGGTCATGAATTTTATAGCTATTATCTACTTAATCCTCACATCTTTCTTTTAAAAAAAAAGTGTGTGTGTCTGTGTGTTTTAGGGGGTTTTCTATAAAGGGAAAATACCCCTTTTAAAGTGAAAGAATTGTTGGAACAGCAGATGCAGGGGGTAAGGGCTTGTCTGTCCTTAGGCAGGCTTTCTCCAGCCTGTCCCCAAACAGGAACTCAGGGTCAGCTGTCCCAGTCCAGGGTCAAGCTCTCAACACAAGCCTTTTTTGTTTCTTCGTTTGTTTCCCGTGATCTTTTTGTTGTCTTTCAACGTCCAGATGTGCTATGCGACCCCACACTCACTGGTTCTCCAAGAGAGCCCGGCAGACTCCAGCTGAGCCCTAAATTTCTCTATTTGAGCTCCTGGGTTTTCTCACAGCATCTCAGAAGTCCCAGCTCAGGACCTCTCCTTTGGATTTTCGAATCCCATGTGGACACAAACTTTGCAAGCTGGACTGTTCTTTGAGAGGAAGCAAAACCAAGTCTGGAAACAGTCTCTGTGGAGATGAGGCATAAGAAGTCACGTGGAGAACTGAAGTCCCATGAAAGAGGAGACGCGCACAGCCCAAGTTTGGGGAACAGAACAGAGTAGCTGCGTGAAAACAAGAAACTTTTCACCAACATCTGCACTGGGCAGGAGTAGGGGTGAGGCAAGAAGCGGTTAAATAAATGTTCTGAGACCCAAGCAGAGTTCTCCCCTTGGCCAGCAGGGGCCAGAGGATGGCATGTCTCACAGGTGTCTCCCGTAAGTAAACCACCCAAATCTTTCTTTTCAACACAGGAAATTGTAAACATGAGCTTCTTTCTATAAACCATCTCCTACTTTTTAGAATTTGGGGTTTACTTTGATTTTTTTGGTAACAAGGATCAAAAATTTTTTCTTAACTATTGAATTCTTTAGAATATAATACTTACATTTTCTCAAAAAGCAGTAGAAGAAAGTATTACTTTTTTAAAATTTTTTTATTGAAGTATAGCTGATTCACAATGTTGTGTTAGTTTCTGGTGGACAGCAAAGTGATTCAGTTACACACACAGATACAGATATTCTTTTTCAGAGTCTTTTCCATCATAGGCTATTACAAGATACTGAATATAGTTCCCTGCGCTCTACAGTAGGCCCTTGCTGTTTACTTGGAAAGTATTACTTTTAAAAGAGAATTTCTGATAGTCTCTTTCTCTTCTTTGATTCAAAGCATTTTAGAGGAACTCTAGGCATTTGGGAAATAACGGCCCATAGCAAAGGTCTAGCAGTTTTGCTCAGCCCAGGCCCTAGGAGAGAATGAGGTCCCAGGGCATCCATGTACGTGATGAATTAACATCTCTTCTCTACATCTAGAATCGTTCCAGCTACCTATGTGCTGGGACACAATTCTCTTTGGGTCTCCGGTGTTTCTGTACTTCTAGTGAGCAGACGTACTGGCTGCTTTGGTCCTGGACTGTCTTTTCAAGGATGTCTGTAGAACACAGAGCCTTGGAAGATAAAGTTTGTGTCTTCCCCTAGAGCGAAGAGCAGGCTTGACCACCTGTCATAAAAGATCTGGTTTTCCTGAAATCTGGGTTCCTCTCTTGTAACACTTCACAGACAGGTGTCATCTGGCCCACGGGGCATCCCTCTGTGGGGACCGGGCCTTGAGGAATTCATACTCTGAGGACCACGATAGCAGTGATCAGTACTGTCCTCCGACTCCGACTCGGAGTCCCCCATCTGCTGCCAGCATCCTTGGAATCATGGCAGGCAAATGTGGGAGTCAAATGTCAGGCTTCACAGTTCCTGACATCAGCATCCTTGGGAGCAGGGGAAAACACTTGGGTCCTTTTTTGTATCCTGTGGTTCCGGGGAGAACCCTGGCTAAGAAAGTCTTGAGGTTAACAATCAAAAACGATACATGACCCAAGAAGAAAAAGCTCGTTCACTACCTGCTAGGACATAAAGAAATACTTTGAGTGTCCTCTTCCACCACTTTCCAAATTTGAGCATTTAAAAAACACCCGTTTAGTTCCTTCTTCCTGCTGCCCCTTAACTATGGATTTTTTGATGAGTAGGACTGGCATGATCACAAACACGGACTTTACTTAATAATGAGCGGCTGACCAGTTACCAAAAAGCACCTACGTGCCGCACATTTCCTGAAAGCCAACTTGTGGTCTGCAAAACTGGAAGCAGAAGTCAACTCTTCCTGAAAAGCTCAAAAACCACATTTGGTAAAAACAGAAACAAATTACAGAGAAGCCCTAGTATCCGTTTCTCTGCTGCCTGTCCAGTTTCACACGCTAACCTGAAGGAATCTCGACTCTTCTCCGTTTTCAGGGCAGAAGAGCCAACACCATCACCACCTTCCTTTGAGAAGAACTCTTTTCCTTCTTGAAGAAAAGAAAGGGAAACAAGAGGGTTTCAGTAAAAACACAAAGCTTTCTTACTGCTAACTCAAACTCATCCTTGAAAAGACATATTGAACGTCTACCGGGCATGTATCCAATTCAAAAAGACACCTGCACCCCAATGTTCACAGCAGCACTATTTACAATAGCCAAGACGTGGAAGCAACCTAAGTGTCCATCGACAGATGACTGGATAAAGAAGTTGTGGCATATTTATATAATGCCATAAAAAAGAATAAAATAATGCCACTTGCAGCAACATGGATGGACCTGGAGAATGTCATTCTAAGTGAAGTAAGCCAGAAAGAGAAAGAAAAATACCATATGATATCGCTGATAATGTGGAATTAAACACACAAAAAAGGATAAACTTATTTACAAAACAGAAACAGACTCACAGACATAGAAAACATACTTACGGTTACCAGCGTGGGAAGGGATAAATTGGGAGTTCGAGATTTGCAGATACTAACTACTATGCATAAAACAGATACACAACAAGTTTATACTACAG